GGCAGCTGGGCTGCGGGGTGGCCACTGCGGCCACAGCAGGGGCTTCGTTTGGGAGGGGGCTGGATCCCATCTGGCTGGACGGGGTTGCCTGCGTCGGGGAGGAGAACGCCCTCGCGGAGTGTCGGGCCAGGCCCTGGGGAGTCAATGCCTGCACCCATGAAGAAGATGCTGGTGTGGTCTGCTCAGGTGATGCTTGTTCCTGCAGGGTCCTAAAAGCACAGCTTGGGACTGCCCCCCCCTTTTTTCAAAAAAGCATTGGCTCACATTGCTCACATTGGAGCATTGGCTGCAGGCAGGAGATTTCAAGGACATGGGGGCTCGTCCCCGTGGCAGACAGTGTTGGCCCCCATCCCCACACCCCGGTAGCCTGTGGAGCTGCCCTGATCCAACCTCCCTTGGCACAGCTGAGCAGGGAAGGGGGGGAAAAAGGACGTTGATGCCTGGTTTGGGATGCAGGCTGCATTGAGACGCTGCTGGGTCCCAGTGAGGCTCTGAGAAAGGGGATTGATTTCTCCCCTTCCCCATCAGGGGCTGAGTCTGGAGGCCACATGTAGGTGCCTGGTGGTGCTTATGAAGCCCCAAGGGCCATGCCTGCCTGCACGTCTCTGCAGGCAGGGCTCAGGCCAGGATCTGTCCTCCTGTCCCACCGTGGCTGGGCACCTGCCCTAGGTTTGCACCCCAGCTGCTGCCACCAGAAAGCCCCCCCCGGACACGCAGTCCTCTTGTCCTCAACGCTGCATCGCCCGCTTCTCTGCCTGCAGACCTGGCCAGGGCAGAGGTCCACCTGGCAGAAGGACCAAACCACTGCGGAGGGAGGGTGGAGGTGTTCCACGCTGGGCAGTGGGGGACGGTCTGCGACGATGGCTGGGACCTGAACGACGCGGAGGTGGTGTGCAGGCAGGTGGGCTGGCGGGCAGCGGGGCTGCGGCAGGGCCGTGGCAGCCCCTGGCCGGGCTCACTTCGGGCAGGGGTCGGGGCACATCTGGCTGGATGACATGAGCTGCACCGGGAGCGAGGACAACCTCGCTCAGTGCCGAGCCCGTCCCTGGGGAAGGAGTAACTGCCACCACGGAGAAGATGCCGGCGTGGTGTGCTCTGGTACATCCCGTCCTGCAATACAGGGCATCTGGCGGTGTGGGGGACGACAGGAGGGTCTGTCCTGCATCTGGCTGCCTCTCAGCTGATGCTAGCCCTGGAAAGGCACGGTTTTGGGCTGGGGGGGCTGGCAAAGGGTCATAGCCTCTTTTTGGCCAGGTTTGTCCCCAACACAGCAACAGGTTCCCACCCCATTCATAACCAACATCTCATCGAAACCTTCACACCCCCCTCCCCATGGCAGTAAGCCAGCCAAGCCCTGTCTTGAGGGGACCACCCAACCCCAAATCCCCAGCCTGGTCTCCATTGCCTGGTCCACACATTTGCATGAAGACACCACCGTTTTAGGAAATGAAGGTGCAACTGAAGTCCAGCCCTACAGCCATGCTCCTCTGGAAGGGTTGGGAGGGTTGCATGCCTTACTGGTGGGGGCAGGGGGGCACCATAATGACTCTGTATTTGCACTCTTGCCTCTAGTTTGGGGATTTTTTTTTTTTGGTGAGGTGATGGGTGCCCTGTTCTCCTTTCCTAACCAGCTTTCTCCTGACAGATGCCAGCATCACAGAGGAGGCACAGGTCCGCTTGGCCAACGGCCCGAACCGCTGTGCAGGGAGAGTGGAGGTGTTTCACGAACAGCGGTGGGGGACCATCTGCGACGACAACTGGGATTTGAAGGAGGCCAAGGTGGTCTGCCGGCAGCTGGGCTGTGGGACAGCTGTGTCAGCCCCGGGCCAAGCTCACTTTGGGCAAGGGTTGAACCCCATCTGGCTGGATGAGGTGGAGTGCACCGGCATGGAGGCCACCTTCTCCCAGTGCAGCCTTAGCAGCTGGGGACTCCATAACTGCAACCACGAGGAAGATGCAGGAGTCGTGTGCTCAGGTGGGCCCCAGGGGGAATGCTCAGATGCCCCAAAAAAGGGTTTTATCTGGGACTGGGAGGCTTGCAGCACTGGTGGGACATCAGTGATGGGAATGACCTTGCAAGGGAGCTGGGGCGGGGAATGGTGCAGCAGGTACAGGTGGCACATGGTGTGCACACCCATCTTGCATGCATGCGAGCCTTGCACGCCCCTCCCCGTCTGCCAGCTGGGTCGGAGGGGCCATCTCACCCCCTTTGCTCCCTCTTGCAGGCACAAGCCCCTTGCAGGTACGGGTGCAGGATGGTCCCGGTCCCTGCGCGGGGCGGGTGGAGGTGCTCTACAACGCTACCTGGTATGGGGTGTGCAGCAGCGGCTGGAGCCTGCTGGAAGCCGGGGTGGTCTGCAGGCAGCTGGGCTGCGGGCCAGCCCAGTCGGCGCCCGTCGGAGCCCCGTTCGGCCAGCGGGACGGCCATGCCTTGCTGGCGGGGCTGCGCGGCCGGGGG